AGCTTTTGCGTCAGTGGGACGTGGTAACGGAGTGGGGGCTACACCTGTCACCGTCTTGATTTTGGTTCAAGTATTCGGTGTTTCTGAAATGTCACTTCTAGAAGTAAAGCATATATCCGATGGAGGACCCAGGACGCCGCTCCCACTAATTCTGAAGCTTACCCTGGTTATCGTTACTGAAAAGCTGTCATTCCAACGAGCATCGACAATCCGTCACGTATTGTGGGCTTAGACTGCGGTAGGACCTTTGTCTGGAAGAAATACATGTCTGGTTTTGCTACCTTGAAATTTCTTACCTTACAGTGTGATAAGAGATCAAGATATAATAATTGTTTGAGCTATCAGTCAAAATGTTACTAACGATGCAGACATAAAATGGTTTTTGAAGGGCATTTACAGGCTGAGGCGATCTCAACTGAAATATAGATACTGGGGTTGTTCTTAAACAACCAAAGGGGATGCTGGTAAGCTCTTTAGGTATTTGGATGAGGAAATCAGCAACACAGCTATCTCAGGTCAGAGTGTGCAAACTAATTGAAACAGACAACATCCGGATTGGGTTGAATAATATTGAAATTGGGATTTCTCAGTTTTTGAAAGTCTCGGGGTCACTCATGAGGCAACCAGTTTTAGTTTTACCGTGTTTTACGCCCAAATATCTGTGCAGTCAAAGTATTCATTTGTAATTGTACATTAACTTTATCATGGTGCCTCTGCTCCCAGATGGGTGAAGTCGGTTTTAGCAGGGAGTGTCACAATTGACAGCCCACAGTACATGAAATGCTCTCCGCCTGCTAAATTATAGTAGTCTCAGGCTAAATTTTCTGAGATACTTCACAAGTCTCTTATGCCAAACAACAGCCTTGCTCAAGCGGCATTTGAGGTGAACCAAGTCTCCACACGTTAAACATAACTATGTTATTACGTTATTTACTTATCACCATGTAATGGATGGTAATGTTTGAACCAGGTACGTCATATTACCTGCTGCTAAAAGCCCGAACTTGAGTTGTTACTTGTAAATGTACATTTAGTTGACACATACATTGCGCACAATTTGTACAGTTGTGTACAACCTATCATTTACTATTGCAGAGCGTTAGTAGTATGTTGTTACAACTCGCTTTGAACATCTACGATATGTATTCTAAATATTTACTACGACGAGGACGGAACATAATTACATGATCAAACGAACTTGCCTGTAAGTGATGTTCGATCTTAATTATGTGAAGTCCTCGTCGAAGTAAATAGCTCCCTCTCTCCCTATGTATCACCCAATTGCTGCAACAACTTGGCCAGAGGGGAGGAAGGTAGGGGGAACGGGCGCGGTGCCGCTTTCTTTCGCTGCGTGCGCGCTTTGAAATCGTGGGGTTTGGTACAGCTAACGAGGGTACTACGATATGTATTCTAAATATTCACGTCGAAGAGAACTTCACATAACTAAAATCGAACATCACTTACAGGTAAGTTGGTTTGATCATGTAATTTTTTAACTCGCAACAAAAGCTTCTATCCGAATAAACATTTTTGGCTTCGAAATTTTGTTATGCAGTGGAGATTGCATGCTGATGCTTTCAAATTAAAAACATAATAGAAACTTGACGCGAGATGCTACAACGCATAACACAAGCCTTATTTTTACACTTGAAAGAACAGCTGGATCTGTTCTGAACGAGTCGTACCAAAGGTACGCTACTTCATACGGAATTGAAGGAATCGATTCCAATCATCTCGCAGAAATCGATCTTGATGGTTCCAATTCCGATACCGATAGTACGATTCCGATTGCTGACATCGAGTTCGACCAATTAGATACCACCGCTTGAAATCGGGTTGTATTTAACTACGAACTATTTGATAGAAATAATACCGATCGAGTTCAAATATCATGGCTGCCGCAATACCAGTCCCCTTACTAAAAGTTCCCCCTCACCGACGCGATACAGCCATAGCGGTAGCGTCAGCGTTAAAAATTGCATTTAGCGCGATAGCTGCACGTTCACACCACCCCGGTACGGCAGTTTTCTTATCTGCGCGATTTTCTGAAACGTTGTTTGATTTCTCATTCAATATGTCTTCTGATGAAGAAGAACTATTATTATTACTATTATTATTGGCCTTAGCAGAAAATAAAAAGCGAAAAATGTAAGTATTTTGATAATAATCGCTAGTTAATGATAATTATTAATTGTGTTTAAGGAAAAAGAAAAAATGGATACATGATATCAATAAGCAAAGAAGGATATATGGAGAATATCCTACATTAATGCCCGAATTACGTGGAGAACCACAACGTTTTTACGTATACTGTCGAATGACTCCCGATTGTTCTGTTGAAATCTCAAATTTAATGTGATCCAACACTTTATCCTTTTTCCTGCAATTTTTATTGACTTCATTCAATATTGGGTACTTCTTAACTTGTTCAATTAATTTCTCCGTTGTGGACATCGTGAAAAACGTGGCGATATGCGATACGAACTCCGTCAGAAGCATTTCTGAAGTGAACGATAAACCGCGGGCCACCACACCGCGCTGGTGTGATCGGTGTGATTTACCGCTCTGAAAACTGAGCACCGCAGGGACATCGGTGCGATGATCGCTATCGCCTTACGGCGTCGGTGTGGGGATCCTTAATGCATTTAATTTCAACGTCTCGGGTAACGATCTACGAGTTTATAATAATTGTTAAGCTTGGAGTACGGATGGTTTTTGGATTCACGTTGTCATTTCGTTGATTTTTTTATATATTATGCGTATTGCCGTCCTTAACAAATGGCAAGTGGGCACAGACCCACAACTCAACAGGTCCCCCAGGTTTAGGCCGTTCAAATCAATATAATGGTGTATCGGGGCTACTTGGCTATCTGCTTTATGTTGAAAAGGCGCTTCTGATGACTTCGCTGAATATGTTATGTTATGTGTCTCGGCGTCCCTGAACAAATGTCTTAATGGACAGAAGCCCCAAAGACTCAACAGATCCCAAGATATAGGCCTCCCGTCAGTATAATGGGGTATCGGTCCTACTCGAATATCTGCTTCAAGTGGAAGAGCGGTATCGGTTAATTCCTGCCAATTTTTTATCTATTATGTACATATCTCGGTGACGTAAACAATGTCCTAACAGACGTATGCCTTTCAGACATCGAATTTGGGTTCAGGAATCAAGACCATTAGAATCGATCATATAATCAATTCCTGCGGTTTCGTTTCTTTGTAGCCCTCGTTAACACCGATGGTGTTTTGGTATTGCGGAAGCCGGAATCGAAAGGAATTGGTATGAAAAGGAATCTTGAAGAAATTGGTTCCGAAGCGGGAATCCAAACTTTGAAATCGACAATACGTTTCTCTCGATGAGCCTATAAAGTGTAAAGTTTTCTGCAAAAAAAAAAGTGACACCACAAAAAGTTTAGTTGGAGATTCAGGCCTTTTTGACAGAGACAGAGAAAAGCATGGGCCTAAATACTCTACGAAAATGTTGGCTTCATGCATACCAGCACGATATAAAAGTTAGGCACAGGGTAATGTCGCAGCGCAATGGCAGTCGGTCTTTCTGGACGCTGAACAAGCAGATTGAAAGGAACTTCTCACAGAGTATCCTTCCACCACTTACGTGTCAGGATGGAACGACCGTAACCGACTCAAACGCTAAGGTGGAAGTGCTTGCCAAGACCTTTGCTGCTAACTTCACCAACAAAGCTTCTGGTCCGGACTTGATTCCTGTCGTTGTATTGAAGAGGTGTGCAGCGGACCTTGCTCCAGTTCTTTCGCGTCTCTTCCAGATATCTTGCGAATCCAGCACCTTCCCAGAAAGCTGGAAGTTTGCTCATGTCTAACTCATCACAAAAAATGATCCTTACAACTACAAGCCTATCGCTCTGCTTTCTGTTATAAATAAGGTAATGGAGAGGTGCATAACTGGCGCGCTTCTGGACTACCTCGTACGTCACGGCTTGATTAAGTAGAAAAACGCTTTTTAGCGACACTTCGCCTTTTTATACTTTGTATAAATAAAGCCAGCGATCCACAGTCCACATGGAACCTCCTAGCTTACGCCACGCAATTGTGGAGTAAACTCATCCAGTCTTATTGTGAGGCTCATGTTGTTGCTCTTGATATCACAACAGCGTTCGATCAGCTGTGGCACGCGGCCCTCTTAAGCAAACTCCCGATGGCCTCCAAGAAAAGCTTTGCAGATGGGTGACTGACTTTCTGTCTGACCGCAAGATATCCGTCCTAATTGACGAGTTCTCCTCTTCATCCCAAAACGTCAACGCAGGTGTTCCTCAGGGCTTGGCTCCGAGGCTGTTCCTCCTACATATCAATGACCTCCTTTCCTGTACGATCAACCCAATCCACAGCTTTGCTGATGAGAGCACTCTAGATGCAGGAATTCAGAGCAACAAGCCAATCTCTGCCGGTGAACTTGAAAAAAGAAGACTATCGGCAACTTCCTCTCTGACGAGAGACCTGGAGGTTATCACTGCTTGGGGCCGCAACAATTTTGTGTAATTTCATGCTTCCTTCAAAACACGGATAAAAAGCCTCCTAGCGCTCATCAGGTTTGAAAGGATGGCCGAGTTCTGCCAAAGAGCCGTTCACTTCGGCTGGTCGGAGTCCAGATCACCGAGGACTTGATCAGGCACGAACACATCTCATCAATAGCGACAGCTGCTGGGAAAAAGCTAGGCTATTTGTTTACGGCTAAGAAGTGCGCGGCTGCTTCGATATAAAAAATTACAAACTAGGTATGTCATACAGTTACTTATCTTACGGGTGAGTTTTTATGTGACTGTATGGAAGGAATATTATATATAATTATATAGGTGAAAAAATAAAGCTTCCGCCTTTAGTTGGTTAGTACTAATTATATATATAGATATATATATATAAAGCTTGGTTAGAGGAAAATCATTATCAACCACAAATTCTGGCAATTAACATGAACCGACCATAAGCACCAACATTTTAATGAGAGCCAATAGCACAAAACTTACTTTGATATCTCGGCGTAAATACATTTTGTCCCAACCTGTTGATGGTATCTCCTGCTCTGTCGTCGTTGGCCAAACTCCTCTTCGGTGACGGATTTCTGGATAATTTCTTCGACGACTCCCTCTCTTCAATGAGATAAGGAAACATTTTCCCTCCTGTCAAAAATTGTTGTCAATCAAAATCTGTGTCACAAAGACGCTCTACTGAAATTTCCGATGCTTTTTGAGTGCCTGACTTGCTTCCAGGCGCATTCAAAACATTTTCACTGCGGGGAGATATTCGTTCGATACGCCGAATTTGGTTGGGATTGTCAATGACGATAACCTCACCATCAAAGGTGGTGTCAAATGGAAATAGGCCAATCAAGTCCTCCGAAAGAAAGTCCAGGCCTAGTATTGAAGACCAAAGAAAATGTCTCATATTTCATACACAGTTCTATCAGTCGTTCTTCAAGACTTCTCATAGACTCTGAGGCCAGTCTGGCTAATTATTGCGAAATTTCAAAGAGTTTTCCAACATTGGTACATGCCATATATGATTGATATAATACATTTGGAAGCTAGGTAAAACTATTATTGCATGCATTCTGTAAGCCGCGACATCACGAGTCTATATATATATACAGGGTGTCCGCAAAGTTGGGGTTTTCCTTTACACGACGTGTAGATCTTGAAAACATAAGCAATTTTTCTTACTACCATATACACCAATGTCTTAAGGGAACCGAGATAAAGGGCTCTGCAACATCAAAAATATCTGAATACCATCCTGTAGCCGCGACATCCCCGAGTGGTACTAGGGCACTAGCTCAACCCGATGACAGAACTGGGTCGGGGTCAGTGTGTCAGCTCAGTATGCAACCTTCAACCGACGATTACGGTCACGCGTGTAGAGGTAATCGCGTAGACGAGAATCCCTCAACAAGCACTAGAGACGTGGCTAGAGAAGTGCAAGTATCAAAAACTAAAGTGTGGCAAACGCTGCGTGAAGAGGGGCTGTATCCGTTTCACGTCCAACGTGTACAAGCCCTTCAACCTGACGATTTTCCAGCAAGAGTGCGGTTTTGTGAGTGGTTGTTGCATCAACATGACAATAATCCGGAATTTTTAAAGTGCATATTGGTGACAGACGAATCTACGTTCACGCGTAATGGGGTGAATAACTTTCGCAACACTCATGTTTGGTCAGTAGAAAATCCGCACGCTGTCCGTCGGGCACACTTTCAACAAACATTTTCGGTGTATGTTTGGGCTGGCATGGTGAACGGTATGCTCATTGGACCATTTATTCTCCCAAATCGATTGGACGGGATGCAATACATAGACTTTTTACGCAACATTTTGCCTTCCTTGTTTGCCTGCGTCTGCTCGGTAGCGCATCAGCTGATTTCATTTTCTGTTGGAGCGGTATGATTTCGGGCAGAGACGTACTTAGCCCTTCTCGTCAACTGGAGAGTGAGTACTTTTTCCTTTATTTTTTTTTACTTGGTCGCCCTCGTTTCACTACACATTACCTTTGTTATTTCAAGGGTAGTTGTTTCTGAAAAGGAAAACCCCAACTTTGCGGACACCCTGTATATATAACAACAAGTAGGAAAATAATGGGCAAAATATGCAAAACGGAGGAAAGTGGATTCGAGCAGAAAACAGGATAGGTAACCCGAGCGATACGTATTTCTGCTGGTTGGCTTCATCAGGCCCGAAATGAATGCACATATGAAACTACAAAAGTAGATACATATGCCCACTCATCCGGATACGGGTGTAACCTGAGGAAACGAAGTTGGAGGGGGAAAAACGACACACGAAGTCAACAACAAGAGCCAACCTACACATTGTAGTATAAAATGGCTATACGACCTCGAATTTTCAAGGAGACGTCTAACCACTACCACGCGGCCGGTTATAGCCACTTGCTGTGGTACTTCAAGCCCAAAGGATCTACAAAGAGAATATGATCATGCGGAGAAAGGTATATAACAACAAGTAGGAAAATAATAGGCAAAATCCGCAAAAAGGAAGGGGCCTGATGAAGCCAACCAGCAGAAATACGTATCGCTCGGGTTACCTATCCTATTTTCTGCTCGAATCCACTTTCTTCCTTTTTGCGGATTTTGCCCATTATTTCCCTACTTGTTGTTATATACCTTTCTCCGCATGATCATATTCTCTCTAGATATATATATATATATATATATAGTGTTTTTTTTAGAGGTATAGAACTTTAAATTGCAATAAAACAACGATGGATTATTCGATTGACATGAATTTTTTTTACTCGAAAGATAATCTTGTGGCATTACATTTTAAATATGATTTCTGGCATATGACTGCCACGGCTGGCTCGAATGTAGTCCAATTTGGACGTCCAATTTTCGCTGACTTTTCCCAACATTTGTGACCGTATATCGGCAATAACATGGCGAATGTTGTCTTCCAAATGGTCAAGCGTTTGTGGCTTATCCGCATAGACCAATGACTTTACATAGCCTCACAGAAAATAGTCTAGCGGTATAAATCACAAGATCTTTGAGGCCAATTCACAGGTCCAAAACGTAAAATTAGGCGGTCACCAAACGTGTCTTTCAATAGATCGATTGTAGCACGAGCTGTATGACATGTTGCGCCGTCTTGTTGGAACCACAGCTCCTGGACATCATGATTGTTCAATTCAGGAATGAAAAAGTTAGTAATCATGGTTCTATACCGATCACCATTGACTGTAACGTTCTGACCATCATCGTTTTTGAAGAAGTACGGACCAATGGTTCCACCAGTCCATAACGTGCACCAAACAGTCAGTTTTTCTGGATGTAACGGTGTTTCTACATAGACTTGAAGATTAGCTTCACTCCAAATGCGGCAGTTTTGTTTGTTGACGTAGCCATTCAACCAGAAGTGCGCTTCATCGCTAAACAAAATTCACTTATGAAAATCGGGAACAACGGCAATCTCGTTTTGGGCCCATTCAACGAATCTACGCCTTATTTGATGATCGTTTGGCTCCAATTCTTGCACGAGTTGGATTTTGTAAGCACGCAAACCAAGATCCTTCCGCAAAATCTTCCATAAAGTGGATGGACACAGATCCAATTCGTGTGCTCGATGGCGGATGGACTCATTCGAGTCTTCCTCAGTGGCAATAGCTTCTTCTGTACGCACCGTACGGCGTCTCCGGGGATGCGAGTTATCAATTACAGTACACGTGGTGTGAAAACGTTCCATGGTTAATCGAATTAACTGCTCTGATGGACGATTTTGTAGACGATAAAATGTTCGTAATGCACAAATTGCAAGCGTTGTTCAGGCGTGAGTCTATTCATAATGAGTTTCCAAACCAAACTGAGAATAAATCACTTGACAGCTGTCAAATCGGTTGTCATCTTCAAAAGTAATGCCAACTTAAAGTTCTATACCTCGAAAAAAAACACCCGTTATATATATATACGAGTATATATATATATATAACTTGAGACGAGGTCATTGTCGTCTAGACCAGTTAGGTGAAAAATTAAAGCTTCCGCCTTTTGTTGGGTACTTCGACAAAATTTAAGCAAAGAGGACTCTTTATACTTTTTTTAATTCTCTCTAGCTTTCAATGGACTTTGCCATCATCATCAGGAGAGTAGTATGTGAGGATGTTGCTAATTGTTGTTTACGTATAGGATGAGGGAAACGTCCAGTAACATGGTGAGAGCTGGATAGATTGTACAGTAGTCAAACTTATATAAAATATGACAAGAACAAGTTAAAAACAGATTAAAAATTATTTAAAAAATTAAAGCATTACATCGTGAGGCAATCATCAAGTGGCTTCACGATGTAATGCTTTAATTTTTTAAATAATTTTTAATCTGTTTTTAACTTGTTCTTGTCATATTTTATATAAGTTTGACTACTGTACAATCTATCCAGCTCTCACCATGTTACTGGACGTTTCCCTCATCCTATACGTAAACAACAATTAGCAACATCCTCACATACTACTCTCCTGATGATGATGGCAAAGTCCATTGAAAGCTAGAGAGAATTAAAAAAAGTATAAAGAGTCCTCTTTGCTTAAATTTTGTCGAAGTACCCAACAAAAGGCGGAAGCTTTAATTTTTCACCTATATATATATATATATATATATATATATATATATAACTGTCTATCTCGGTGTATCTGTAGTATCCGTTGGTCTTTCAATTGGTCTTTTTGCTGCTTTGTCAGTATGTCTATCGCGGTACGTAGTCGTAACAGTTCTTTTGAATATCGGACCACTGGTGATAGGATTATAAGCAAAAGCAAAATTAAATATAATGCCTTCCAAGGGCGAAAGGATTTGGGTCTTCGATAGAAGCATGGCTTGGTGGAAAAGCATAACATTATTGGGATATAATGTGCATGACTGTCAATAATGGCTTCCTCTACCGGGTTATGAATAAAACTTTTTTAATTACTAACTATGATATAGGTATTGCCATATTTAACTGGATTAGACTTTGAAATATAGCATATCTGATAGTTTCTTTAACATCCGGCAACAATGTCAAACAAAGCCGACGCAATGTCTGGATCACTGAACGTAGGAGAGGAATGCTACTGCCACACGATAACGTCCGATGAAGGTAGTCGACACACATTCGTTTTCCTCTAAATTTCAAATATTTCAATTTATGAAGTAGCCTTGAACTTTGAGCAACAATAATAGTTTCTGTAATAGACTCTGTGTTTACTTACCTACGGTAAGCAATAATAGACATGCCTGAATCCAAAATTTTTGAGACCCCTAAACATGCGATGAATTGACCAGAAAAACGTCGAAAACGAAATTTGGATTTTTTTAACCAGAAGGAGCTAAAAACCCATTTTCACTATAATTAATCAATATAAATGTACATAGACCTTCCAATCTTACATCGCTTTTCGTCCTTGCCATAATACCAGGGACCAAAAATTCCAGCTGAAGAAATTCCTCACCACACTGTGACTTTGGATGAATGCAAAGACCTTTGATGCAACTCTCGAGAAATTGTGTTAGGGGGAATGTGCCAGTAATCCGGACACTATCAGTAGTCGGACAAATGTTATATTATTGGTAAAAAGTTAAATATCTGAAATCCTATACTTACTGCTTATTGGTACCAGAACAAAAATCCCACACCCACACTTGTGATATTGACAACAGGATTACCGCATAAAAAAAAGCTTGCATTTGATTCCTCAATTTTTGTTAGTTGTGTAGTGAGTGACATAAACTTTAAGGGCAAGTAAAATCGTCAGCTAACATATAAATACTGTTCTTGTTACATATGCAGAAGACATTCAAAACTTAAGAAATAAATTGATCTTAATCTGTTATTTTAGCATTTTGAGGTCATAATGGAGAGGCCGCTGACTGGAACATCATACTAATCAAAATGCAATAGTTGGACTATTGGACTATATATATTGGATATAGTCCGACTATTAGAATGGCGTGGTCGATCTCAAACTAACTTTTTCTCTCTAAACATAGAGACTATCA